GGCAGGCCCGAATTTCGGGAAATTGAAGTACCAGAACAACATTAGAAACACAGGTTAGGATGAATAACTGTTTCGGAGGCTGAACTCAATACTTATGAAGTTTAAAGAGGTAATCACTTTAAAACTAAGTTGTCTTTATGTAGGTCTATTGGGTAAATACAAACTCTCACATTTACCTGGGATTCAATGATGCGTCTCAACAGAATTGGCGTACTCGGGTGGAGGATGAGGGTTTTTTGGAGCGATCAGTTCATCAAAGTGAACTGTCATAGGTAGGACGAGGGCGATGTTGGAGTTCCCAAAACATTACAGTTTGCTACTGATAACAGTGATGATACAGAAGGACAACTAGGGATGAGTTAAGTCCGCATAGTTTCGATACCCCAAAAGCTACTTATATCTTCCAGACTGTACATGTCAATATTAGTAGCACCAAAGGAAGCTGGTAGCAGTTTCTCCATGATTAACAGAACATCGTCAGAAACATAGCCAAGTTTGCTGGTCTAATAATTTATACCCGAAGTGTTTAAATTAAGCTGGCATTTCAAAAGGTAGAACTACCGAGGATCAGAGTACAGATTCCGATGCCAGTACCCAAAAATGAAAGAAATGCATCTTCAGCATTACCAGTCTAGGTATGACTTGCGATGATCAAAGACTGAGTGGTCGATGTCAGCAATAGTGCAATTCTTATCGTTTCCGACTACCTCGCAGGTTAAAAACGTTCGGTTAGACGGTGGGACATTTCAGAGACAAGGCAAGGGCCACTTAGAGAAACCGAGAGAAGCGCCCAATCTTATCCTGTTTATTCAAATATAGATCGTGTGAAAACTCTAAATATATAGCTGTTCACTAACAAACACCGGCAAATCTGATATTACAGAGGAATAATTGACCTAGAATGTGCTAATAGACAGAAAGCAAAAGAAAACGGCAGGCAGATTCACAACAGTTGTCCTAACCACATTAGAGGCGGCCAAAAAACAAGCTTGACTGTTGATACAAGAGAATTAAACTTAAAAAAATTGAGCACATTGTACATATCTTGATGCCTAGTTCGGAGTTCGCAGTACAGCCAAAGGCGTGTTTAGGTTAGAGCATATAAGTTCCAAGGTGGATAGTAGTCTTTATACAGTACGTTTTCGAGTTAAGGTGAAAAGAAAAACACGGATCAAAAAAACTGAACCATCGCGCCTGTATCTCACGGCCCGAGAAATGACAAAAGTCCACAAACCAGTTACATACAGTTATCTCTGTATTTATTAGGTTGTATACGCAGTCACATCATTCTGTAATCATTAGACCTGTAGCTCTGGGAATAGATTAAGCAGAATGGTCTACAAACACTAATTCTTCGAAAAAATAATTTGAGACACTAGGTGCTTAAATAAGCTCCAAATGTTCGCCTTTATATTGGTTTTTAATCAACAACGTACTGAAAATGTGATCAAGACGAGTTATTATGGTCTTGAAACTCATTTTAACACGTCAGGTAGTTTCGAAATTGAA